AGAAACGCATTTTCCAACCTCCTAGGTTGCACCCATACCAACCAAGTTGACATTCTACCCAACCTGCCACCTCCCAATCCATGTCCACATGACGACCAAATACCCCTCTTTATACCATATTAATCCCTTTGCCCCAAAATGTCAACAGTTCCAGCAGTTCTCAAAAGCTCAGGTCAATGTCTCCTCTAAGAATTAAGGAAAACTTTTAACTGTGAATTTCTGTAAAGCTCCAAAGCAGGTTACTTAATCCCAAAATATAATAGCACAGCATTCCTACTGAAAAAGAAGAGGACAGAGGGATAGAACAGAACCAGAGCAAGATTGAAACCTATCAAAGTAAAGATTGAATTCTGCAATGAGTTGAGGTTTTGTTTGTTTGTTTGTTTGTTTGTTTTCCTGGTCTAAATTCAAAGTAATTGTTTTCCTTTGAATGGCACTAATCTCTTCAACAGCTGTGCCTCCTTTGGTCCCAACTTACACACAGTTCTTTTGGGGCCTAAATTTAAGTTTTTCAATTCAGCTTTTGCTCCCAATTCTTGCTATAAACATACCTAAAAACATACTGTCAGTACCCATGCCAAAGACTCACCATTGATTGGCCTTGAAATTTCCTTCACTAGATCAGCTAGTCACTTCCTTAAAATTCAGCCTTATTCAAAAATCTATGAACATCGAAAGACGTAGACAAATTTTATTTGTCTACAAATCGTTATGCCAAAGTATAACACTCACAGCCTCTAATCCAGTTTGCAGCTGAATCCCCATTCTTGTCTGAAACCTCATGATCCTGCCCTTTGCTATCTCCATCCTCACCAGCATTCTGATTTCCAGATATTCAACCAAAACTGCCCATCACAATCTATTTACAAAATTCTAGGACTTTTTCAGTCACAACTCCAAACCTTTCCAAAATCCCTCAAACCAAAACAAAGGCTTCTGGAAATATGCTCAGATAGGAATAGTAATGAGCTCACTTTTGATATTAATTTTCTGAATCGATAAGCGTTCCAGTTGTTGGGAGTAAACACCCAACATCTGCAACTTAAAGAAGCTTGTGTTTTCAAGAGTCTACTATTGGGTGGCTCCAACACAAAACTTCATGGTGGAAGGGATTGCTGGAGCCAAACTTCTCAGTTCACGGTGGTTTGGAAGCAGAAGAGGGGAACAACACCAAAGAGAAAAGGGGCCAGAAATCAGATGTAAGCACCAAAGTCATGCCTCTGTGACCCATACAAACACCAGGAAGTGGGCCTTATCAATCTCCTAGGTGACTCTTAAGCCAATCAAGTTGAATAGCCAATTTACCTGTCATAGACATGTAGATTATTTGCCTACAGTTACTACCTTGATGAAATAATTTAGTATAGAGTTTTTTCTTTTGTTTCATTTTGAACTTGAAACAATTAGGATGATCATAATAAAGATACTGAAAGAGTTTTGGGCCAGACAGGACTCTGTAGCCAGAAAAGCCTCAGCCTCAGCCAGAACCAAGGAGCTCCTATCTCCCCCACCCCTACCTGTGACTATCTCCCCCACCCTTAGGAATTTGCCTCTGGCGCCAAACGAGTGCCAATGAGATACCTGTGCATCTCTAATGGCCCTAGGGCACTACCTTAAGCTTAGGCTACTTCTATTACCCCCCCCACACACACACACACCATGTGTCTGCCAGAGAGAAAGCCAGACTCCAGTGGTAGGGGGTATTTTTGTTTTTTCTCTCCGCGTTCTCAGAATAAAGGCCTCTTTTGTTTTATACTTCTCATCTTTTGGACGCACTATATAATCTTATCAGATACTTCTTGAGAAAGAAAATTAAAAGGAAAACAATGTTATACAAAAATGGGCAAATAAACTTAATTTATATCTTACTTTATGAAATGATGAATATTGGTGTGTATGAAATTGTTGAAGTTTTAGAGAAGATATTGTTTTGGGAGGCATATATATAATATACAACTCTATTACATACACACACACACACACACACACACACACTGTACTCAGTTTGAGCAATAGGTAAAAAACAGTTCTTCAGTGTTGAATGCTGAAGATCATTTCTGAGCAGAATTAGGGCTGTTTTTGATTGCATTCTATGCGCCTTTTCATGGTGCCAAGGGATAATTAGCCATTCAGTATTTAAATCTATGAAATGCATGGTCATTCAAACATGAATCTCTGATGGAAAATTAATAGCACAGTTTATTCAATGGCTGATTTCCTGGTGTTATAATTGACTGGCTGTGAATAAATGTTTCAGCTATTGACTAAATATCTGATAAGACCAAAGCAAACACAGTATTGGTGAAGCACAAATGCTCTGCTCAGAAATACACAACACCACATATGATCATTTACATGCAGGTTATTATTCCATGAAATTTCACAGTGGAAAATACCTTAGTCTATTTGTATCTACTTTTATGATTTCCTAATGTTTCTATATTCGGAATAAATTCAGAGTTATCTATGACATAAGTACCATATATTTTAGAAAGGCTTTAGTCACTAAATTTGACATAACTGTAGCTTAAAACAGTGACACTTTACTTGTGGCTGCAAATATTTGGTAGCTCATGAACAGCAGGATAAAAAACTTGGCATCTCTAACTTAGCATTGTTCTGTTTCCTTTGCTACCTTAAATTTTTGATCAGTTTCCTGCCCAACTCTGCACATAAACATGTGAGTCACTTAAAGAATATCTGTCTTTATACTGATCATACAAAGTTGACTAGTACTAAATTTACCTAACCTGTCTCATCCTCTTTCAATACTAAAGACTTCAAGGGGAGGGTAACAAAAGTGTGTTCAGGATTCCAGAAAAAGCAAGCCCTGAAGGCAGATCCATGAGGGGAACCGTGGCTACTCTCTAGGCAGGAGTTATTAACTCATCTCAGGAATAGTGTTACAGGCAGCTGAGTTAGTTAGAAATATTACAGGCAGTCAGACAGGGCTAGGCCCTCAAAGGAGCCAGAGCTGAAATTCAGATACCTTGCAGGCCTGGAAGAGACAAACACCTCCCACTGTGGGTCAGATTTCAAGACAAAAGGTAGAGCAAATACACCCACATCTTAAGGATCCACAGTCCAAATAGTTCTCTATCACCCTGAGGAAGTCAGGAGTCAGCATCCCACCCCACTACAGGAAGGGCCATTGCTTTTAAGCATGCCACTTACTATGTGATTGTCTTCTCAGACAGAAGCTTTGTTTCTCTCAATAAATATATTCCACTCTTAACCTCCATTATTCCTAAAATTCATTATTCAATTTTAGAGAACATGAACTCATCCTGGACACATAGTAGGTCAGGAGTTTCATTCCCATATGTCATTAGCACAATCACCTAAAGGAATGAGAACTTTCCCTATGCTAGCAGGACCTAGCAGACCTGAGATGATGGCCAACCAGATGACCGTTTGACCAAGACTGCTTAGTGATGCTTATTAGTCATAGTTGGTACCAACAAAGACAAGGCTTAGGACCTAGTTCTCTTGCCTTTTGTTTATTCCACATAGAAATAAAAGGATAGTAAGATTTGACCTGTCAGCTTCATCTATGTTAATTGATCTGTAGGTAAATAATTAAATGATAGTTGGCAGTTTTTCAAGTAACGTATGGATTTCCTAAAAATGAACAGCGTTTCTGCCTAACACTTATTAATCAACATTGCCCACTAGATGGTAAGATGCTACAGTTGGGAAAATATTTTTGAGGAAATGAGTTTCATGTATGAAATTTAAAAATATGGCAGTTGGAAGAAAAGAAAAAATTGACAGCCAGAATCAAGCAAATGCTTATATAGTAGCATACAAACCCATTCACTAAACATTTACAGCATATACTGTACTTTTCCCCAACTCAAACTGTTCCCTACAGCCATATAGTTCTTCTTTCCTTTAGAGACAGCCAGAGTGCTTGCTTCTGAGACTGTTCATTTCATGCAGAACCTACATCTCACAGGGTTTATTTCTTCTAAACAAATTAAAACATATTAACGTTGAGATTAATAATTTTGCAATAAGAAAATAAGGCAGATATAAGCAAACTAGAGTCAATCCATTTTGGAACTCAAGTGTGCCATAGCAACAACCCTGGACTATTGTTCTTATATTGAGGTAAAATAAAAAAGAAAAAAAAAGTGTAATTTTAAAACTAAAAACTAGTTTCATGAGCCCAGTTTGAACCCCCACCTGGACTCTCTTCTCTAAACCTGGGCAATTCTCTTTCACCTGTGAATGAATCCAGCCATTCTCTTTTTGCTTGCAAATGATCTTTCACTTGTGAATAGACCAATTTCTCCTGTAGAACAGGATTTCACTGGGTGGAGCATCCTCCCCTACCCACTAAACCAAGACCGTGATTGTCAAATTCCACAGATTTCCAAAACACATAAATATTCCATTTTCAAACTCTAGTGTGTTTTTCTCTCTGGAGGGTCTACATTCTGCCGAGAGTGTACTAAAACCCTGCCTAACAAACCTTTCCTCTGCCTCTTACTCATAGGTCCTAACAAATTATTTTTCTGCCAGAAGAGTCAGTCAGTAAACCTCCAAATTTTCTTTGTTTAGAACGGGTTTAATGCCTCATTTCCACTCCAGGAACTTCCTCAGTCCCAGCCAGGTGACAATCTGACTGAGTGCCATTTCCGAATGACTCCATGAGCTGAAAGATTTTTATACCCACCTTGATGGAGACTTTGAGATGCATCTCTCGCACTCAACTCACCTTTTAGCGATGACCAATGTGCACACCTCAAGCTGCACCTCCTCCTTAGTCTGTGCTCCTCTTGTTAGACCGAGCACTGGCACTGACTCATTTTGTCTCGTTTCTTAACACATACTCTTGTTTACACGCGTCCATTCCCATCCTTTCATTCCATCCCTCCCTGAAACGTCTTACGTCAATGTGGTGTATTATCATTTTTCTATCAGAGGTCCATACATGTTACCGCCAGCAAAGACAATTCAACAACTTATCACGTGTATAAAAACGCAGAATGTACCTGGACATAGGCTCTGCAAGAGCGCTCTCTTTTCTGAAGCTGAATCCGTTAAGACAGCAGATTAAACACAGAATAGAAAAAACAAGTTAGTGACAGAAGAAAACAAGAAAAATAAAAGAACACATCTACACAAAACACCTTACTTATTGGTTCCCTACTCTCTAGGGGAACATGAGAGCTAAGCAGCAGGAAAATGTAGTCAATGGCTTGAAATAGAGTAGCTAATATCCTTTTAGAACAACCCCAGGGAAAACTGGATGGTATAAAGTTGTTAATGATAGGAAGAAATGTTTGAATACATTTAGTAGAAATTAGTAGCAATCAATATGCTTCATTCATTTGAAATAATTCATTGCATGTCAGGTTAGTTATTAATTTAAGAGTTAAAAAAATAAACATCTAAAAAAGTTAAGTAAGTTATGTCAGAACTTTGGAATTTGTTTTAAAGGTAGTAGACTGTGGTTGCAGACAATATTGGTGGTTAACGTGCACACATATTATTGGATGGTTTAGACATATAGAAAATATTTATGGGAAGAGAAATGTCCGCTTATTATGACTATTGGATTTGAGGAACAAATATCAAGATATAAGTAACTTTTGAAAAAAAATGATTGATATTTGACTTGTCACTTTTTATATTTCATGAAGAATTTCTTTTGACAATTTTAATCAAGAAAATACATTTTAGAAACTCAGGTGGGAGAATAAGCCTGTGATTTGCTTATACATAGAACAATGTTTTTATAGGCCAAAGGTTGGCAGCCCCCTATGCATTCTCAAGTATTCTTTCCTAGAGTTTAAAGGAATAAGCAGTAGCACTTTATTCACCCTAAATTTTTATAAATTAGAATGTGACTTTTCCTCTTCTTCCCTACTGTCTTTCCCCTTTCAATTGTCTTGATTTTGAAAAAAGAAAATTAATCCAGTTTGAGGAAGTAATTCTTCTGCTGCTTTTGTATGGCTAATATTCTCTGGACTCTAATGGATGCATTCTTCAAAGAGCATGAAACAGTTACTCCTCTAAAGAATTAAGAGAGGAATAAGTGCAAATAAATTACTGGGGCTGTCATCTGGATCACTGACTCGCACCCTCATTTCCCAGGACTCCAAAGCCTCCACAGTTTCAGTGTAGAGCTCGATTGATTCGTACCGAGTTGACTTTGCAAATCTGAGAGGTTATAGCTGCTTCAGGGGAAATGGGAGCCACAGGACAGAGAACAAGCCAGCAAGCACGTGGGTAACCTCCGCCCTCCCTTCAACTCACTGCCTCATGCAGATTAACATGTGACAAACCGCATTACACAAACAACTGAAAAAAGCCAAATGGGAAACAAAAGAGAGCAGTAAAAGGCCTCATAAATGGAAATTTGCCCAATATGTAGTTATTTGATATTCAGAGTAGGCAAGCTGATTAGCTATAGCCAGTTAGAATGTGACATTAATTACCAGCTTTACCTGATATCCTTAGACATCAACATTTTTAAATAAAGATACAAAGTATTGCTGTAACAAGTCATGTTATGGATATGTAACATTAATAGAAATTACTACAACCAGTGCATTATGAAAACAATAGCTAGCAGCATTACTCACTAATAGAACCCAGTTAGCCTGGGTAATAACATTAAAAGCACAGCACAGCCAGATCATACAGGCAGTTGTAGGTTATACTATCAGGTGTAACTGTAGTTCTTCTCAGGTTACAAGTGAGACATTCTTTAAAAGTTCTAAATGCTCAGCATGACAACAACAACAAAAAAACTCTCAATAATTTTTATTTAATAGATAAAATTGTTCCTGTTTTTTAGGGATGATATTGCAGATAAAACTATTTGCCTGGCTTTTCTGTGTAGAGCAATCATTAGTTTTAAAAATGTCTTCTATCTTGATGAGTGAGTCACACCACAGTAAGACCTAAAAGAACTAACTGCATCAAATGCTAATTCTGCAAAATCATTTTTCAATCCAGAGAAGATTGTCCTTCTACTGAATTCCATGGAGGAACATCAGTCCGTCTCTGTCAAATTCTCATTTTTCTAAGTGGGAAGATTATCAAAATATTAAAGGTTCTAATTCAGTTTCAGTCACTGAGAATCTCTACTACACTAATACCAATCAGGGACTGTTCACATTCAATGGTATCAATCCTTGTATATTTTTACCATAAGGTTAATATAAAACATCATAATTTGTAATATAGAAAAGTGCTATTCTATATAAATTATAAAATATATTTGTAACTTATATATTTTATATTAAAGCATACAGATATGAAATATTCAGGACAGTGACTTTTTTCTGAAAATACATTTTTTCAAGTATTTAAAACATGATTTTAATTATTTACAATTTAAATATACCTAAACTTTCAAAACACCAAATCTGAGTAATTTAAAAATCAAAATGAATAAGTTATTTGCCTCAGTAAAGTAATATTAATTAGGTTTAAATATCTCATTTAAAAATTCTATATTGGAGTATTAATACTCTGTCTACTGTCTACATTTTCACTTCTTATGGATTACAAACGTATTTTATTGTCAGTTCTTTTAATATAAAAGTTTGAAGGAAAAACGAAATAAAATAAATTGCAATGATTCGCATTACTCTTGTCAGAGTTTAGCATCCGAAACCAGCTGCTACACTATGAAAAACAGTATCTTAAATTTCAAAGATTTACAGGCAGATTATCGTTTATTGTTTATTTGGTTGAAAAATCAGTGCTGCCATTACAATAATTAAACAGTGAAGTAAATACAGGTCTCAATTCTTTTCTTCCATAAAGTGGAGAAAAGCAAGCAGAAAGTCTAGCTCGCGTGACAAACGGGGACACAGCAGCGTCCCTACCTTGTTCAAGCTGCGGGCCGCGCTGTCCTTCCCACCTGGGGTCAGGTTTCGGAGCTGCACGTCCAGGAGCCCCACGAGCTGATCCATGGCTCGGACTGAGTAGGTGATGTCCCCAGCATTCAGATGGTTTCTGGTCTGCTCGGCCAGCTCTCTAGCAATATTGGCTGCTGTTTCTCCAGATTTTAACTATGATTTTGAAACAAAATAAAATGCAAAGAGGTCTTAAACAAATACTTTTATTGGTCTCTTGCCAATTGCTTTCCTATGAAAGTTTGAGTCATTTGGGCAAGATAGTTACTAAACTCCATCCACACCCGGTTGAAATCTGCAATGTTTTCTGTTAATTCATCTTTGTCTGCAAAACCTAAGTGTAAATCAATGACTTTAGAAAGTTTCTCCTGACGAACTTTCTTCCTTATTCTCTCCCTCCTTTTTTCTCTCTCCCAATCTCCACCCCCACCCCCACTATATGCCCATGGCCATGGAACCAATCCAGAATTCCTGGGTCTCTGGTCTCAGCCTTCTGGAGGGTTGCTATTGTTTCAGCAGTGGAGTTCCTTAGAAATGCTATAGGCAGTGAGACAGGGCTAGGTTCTCCAAGAAGCCAGTGCAAAAGCCCAGATACCTTTCAAAAATTGGGGAGACAGACACCTCCTGCTGTGGACCAGGCCTCAAGACAAAAGATCAAACAAATGCACCCATATCCTAAACACTGATTTTCTAAATAGCTCCCTGTCACCCTGAGGAGGCCAGGAGCCACCATCCCAATGCCCTACTGGAGAGTCACTGCTCCCTAAGAATCACGCGTTCTACATGACTCGCTTCCCCATTTGTTCCCCACTTAGTCAATCTTACCTGAACTATTGACCTTATTGGCTACCATAGTTCTGTCCCACCGTATTCCATCTGCCTTGTGAGTTTCCAGCCTTCCCCCACCTTGAACCCTTCTAGCCCCATGATTTTACTCTGTAAAAGTCCCTGGAAAAGACAGAGTCCCTGGCACACCACTCTGGACTCCTCTGTCTCTCAGACAGAAGCTTTCTTTCTCTCAATAAATACATTCTGCTCTTAACCTCTGTTGTTCCTAACATTCATTCTTCGATTTTACAGAACACAAAACTGTACCAGACATAGTAGGTTGAGAGTTTCATTCCCCTAAATCACTAGTACTGAACTGCTCTCTTATGCCCAATTGAAGAATCTTATTTCTAAAAATCATTCTCATCTTATTTACCCATTTCATTGGTGAAGGTCGAAGCTTTGTCCTATTGTGAGTTGTTAAGTTGCACTTTGATAAGTGTGTACTATGAATTCCTACTCATGCTCTACATGCTTAGATGTAAATATAGTACAAACTTTCATTTTTGTATATTTAGCACTTAGCTAAGCAAATATGAAATCAATATTAAGCATTAGTGAATATTATTAATAAATATTAACTGCACTAAATGAATATTCATCAGATGCTAAACTTGGTGAGGAATTTACCCCAAACAAAATCCCTGCTTTTAATGTGATTTTCCTCTTTTTACTAAATATACCATAAGAAATTTCGTTCCCCACAGACTTAGCAAATTACTGCTTAGTTTCTAGTGTTTTTCTTATCTGAAACTACATGCTGATTTTTCAGATATGTACTGTGGGAGCATATCAGATTGTCAAGCTTTAAAGATGTTAAATGATATGAAGGCTAATACCTCAGGATCCATTGAATAAATTTAATAGTCATGGGTAATGAGAAGATAGGGATATACATTAAACTTTTAAAAAAGTATAGGAAGTATTTTAAAAAGGCAAAATAATTTCCTGAGTTACAATCTTGTTTTAAATTAATAAAACAGGAATGGGACCCAGAAAAACAATAGAGATAAAAGTCTCTCTAGGGACTGTTAATGGTTTTCAGTATATATTTCTAAATTTTAGCTTGCCTCATTACTATTTAAATGCATAACTGTAGTCAATAGTGTTATGCTATAATAGTATTTACAACTATGTTTCTTTTTTTATGAGGTAGTTCAATGTAAAGTACATGGTCACAAGCAAAATAATCTTATCTTTGCAAATTCTCTAATGATTATTAGCATAGCTAGAGAGCTATTAATGCAACTAATGCAACTACAACTCCTGGTCAATAACATGGATTATCACTATCTATTTAGGGCAGTTTGGGGTTTGTAGGAAGAATGAATGTTAAAAATAAACTGTAGTAATTGGAAGATCTAAATCACATGTAATCATATTCTCAAATGTAGAGAAAACCCTACTAAAATTCAGTTTCATAACAAGGTTGGGAAATGATTATTACCTCTTTAAACTACTACTGATAATGTATATTTACATAGCTCCTATATAAAGCACATTACTAATGCCCATAGTTTTGCTATATAAGTTCTTTATAATCCAGCAATTTCTCTTACTACTATTACACATTAAAATAATTCCATAGATATATACAGTAATAGAAAAATGTTCAATGATGCCCATTTAAGCTTGATTATGTTAGAAAAAAATGAGTTATGGTTATATAACACTGCTCATATATATGTACCATGCAATAGTTTAAAATATGAAAGAAACCAATATTATTTTTAGACTCCAAGATAAAAACATTCTACTTACAAAAATAATATACATAATGTTTTCTTTTATATATATAGAATAACACATATAATGTTCTTTTTGTATATACAGAACACAGACTACAGTCTTTATATATTTTTCTTATATTCTATATGAATATATTCTATATTCGTCTATCTGTCTGTCTGTCTGTCTCTCTCTCTCTCTCCCTCTCTCTCTCTTTCTCTCAGCTTGGTTATAAAGTGAGTTCAAGGCCAGCCTGAATGACATAGCAAGATCTCATCTCAAAAAGAGAAAAGTAAATATCAATAGAAGACTATGCTAAAGTATTATTATATGGTTTGTAAGTACTTTGTAGAAACTTTTGAAATAAAAAAATCTCAATAAACACAAGGAGAGTGGATCAAGAAATAAGATCCATCAATATACTGTATATAAGAAACACAGTTAACTTGAAAGGAAATTCAGAGACTGAAAATTACAGGGAGAAAACAATTGTTCCATGCAACAGGAGGCCAAAAAAAAAAAAAAAAAAAAAAAAAAAGCAAGGGTAATTTGCCCATCAAACACAGAGTGGTTAAGAAAAATCTGGTATTTTCACACAATGGAAAGCTACCCCGCTATAAAGTAAGTTAATCACGAGGCTCTTATAGGTAAATGGATTCAACTGGAAGTCATGTCATGGGTGAAACAGTTTGAACTCATACTAGCATAAAAAACAGAAGGAGGGAGGGGGATCCAAAAACACAACAGATATTATAAAAGTGATAGAGGAGGGAACACTTGGGAGAATAAGGTGGTAATCAATATTAATTTCTTGTTCTCGTCTTGAACTCTTGTGATGTTTTCACAATTTTGTTAGATTTCATTCTGTTTTGTCTTGTTTTATTGAATTTTACTGTGTCTACTGGTATATGGTAATCATGGTAGGCTATCTTTTCCTGTAATTCTTGCATTCTTTTGTTTAATTGGTTTTATTGTTTTGTTTTATTTGATATTATTATGTATGATGGTATGAAGAGCTATTTTGAAGAAAACGAGAAATTGTAGTAACCACTGTTCATTTCCTATTATATGGTTTTGAAGTCCAGTGATACTTCCGCCATTCTTTTGTTTTGATTGGTTTTAGTCTGTTTTCTATTATTTAATTTTATTGTGTATGAGGGTATGGACAGCTATTTTGAAGAGAACAAGAGACATTATGGTAGCCATTGTTGATTTCCTATTGTCTGATTTTGAAGGCCTGTAATGCTTTCATTTTTTAAAATTTTGATTGGTTTTATTCTATTTTGTTTTGTTTGACTTTGTTGTGTGTGAAGGTACGGACAACTCTTTCAAAGAAAACAGGAGACATTATGGTAGCTTTGTTGATATCCTGTTGTCTTGTTGTGAAGTCCTGTGTTGCTTGTATTGTTTTGTTCTGGTTTGCTTTGTTCTGTTTTATTTTTATTCTCTTTAAAAAATTTTTAAAAATCTGCACTGAATTAAAGGAATTTGTAAAATTTTTTAGAGTCTTCTGACCTTTTAAACCAAAAACTTTCCCTTACAGAGTTCAAGGATAAGTGCATAGCAAATTATTGTGGATCAAGTGATTGCTCACGACCCACCTATGAATCCTGAAAGTACTTTCTACAGATGGCTAGAATTTGTGTACTTTCCAAAAAAAATTCTTTTGATCAATGCATCATTTATAGTGTCTTCTTCCATTTGTTGTTTTCTACATACTCCATTCTCATAATGAGGACTACATTTGCAGAATTATTATTGTATTATTTGGTTAACCACTATGTTCTTGTGTAATTGTCACTTTATGGCTTCCTCTATTTCTCTGTTATCACATGAGATTTTTTCTATCAGAAATCAGGGCAGATAGTCTCTGGGGTTTTTGATTTACCATGGTAAAAAAAAAAACACTTTGAAATCTTATAAACTAGGTAAAATATTTGTTAGTTAATAAAATTTTTCAAAACAAACTATGTAAAAATTGAGGGTCACTATCTCTACTGATGATCATGGCAAAGAGCTAAATTATTTACTAAACAAAGAGAAAATAGCACTAGTATTTTCATATAACCTCATTTTTTTTAGAATTTAAAAGAATAATCAATATTGTCACAATATTGGAGGGGGTAGCATAATAGTGACAAGGTAGACAGAAGAACTATGTAATTACATTTTTCTTGTATATAGTAATGCAAAGATGAAAATTGACTAGCATAAAAGATACTGGTGAGAAGTCCAGTCTAAGAATCATGCATTTCTATAAATGGTCAAATATAAAAATCACTAGTAAGTTAACTTTAAAATAATTATATTTTTGTCAGTTAATAAGTGTTAATTTATATTTAAAAATTTAATTTCATTTCATTAAAACTCTCCAAAAGAAATATAAAATAACACTAAGAAAGCTGCAAGACAAAAACTCAAGTACAAATAAATTACAAGTTACATAAATGTTTACAATCAATGTGAGAAGTAAGTTTTTAAAGCAGCTTTTGTTGTAACCACCTCTCTTCATGTTAAAATGGGATAAATAATACCAACATTTTTTTCTTTCTTTCAAAATTTATTTGAACACTTTTTTTTTCATTTGTTGTGTTGTGTTTTGTTTTGTTTTATGGTGAATGTAAAGACAAACTCTGTACAAATTTTCCCCTCAGGGAATCTTGTATTCTAGCAGTTGAGAATGGGGATGTTGGCACATTAAGGCAGATGACATTACTTTAAGAATGCAGTTGTAATAACAGAAATGTGCATGAGATCCTATGGGAATATAATGCAGGAGAAAAAGCAAGCAGAGGTTAACAATCCAGTAAAGCCTTAACAGCTAAATTGAGGGTGACCAGGTAAGATGGATGCTGGGGTAGGTCCTTGGAAAGAAAGACCGCCTAAATCAAGGGGAGACTGAAACACAGAAAGTTAAGTTCAGAGTAACTATGGCTTTCCCTCAGACTAGTCACCATGGACTACCATAATCTTATTTCTATCAAAACCACACACATATCCCGAATCTGCCGCAGGACTTCTTGCATGAATATAGTGCTAAGATCATTCTTTGCGTCACATCTCCTCTCGCCTTAATCCTTTTCTGCTTCCTTCCCGTCTGCCATGCCAAGGACTGCTTGTCTCTGCCATGCTGCCCTGCCTGGGGCCAGATGACTATAGTCTAAACCTTCTACAAACTGAGTTAAAATAGACCTTTCCTCCTTTAACTTGTGGGGGTCAGGTGTTTTGCTCCAGCAACAAGAAATTAACTGAGATAGTAAGTTAAGTTTAATGTCTTATTAATACAATTTCTGATAACATTAAGAAACCATTTACTTGTAGTTCATTCAAGAATTCCTAAGGAAGTTAAAATGAAGACATTAAGACATAGAAGACAGACTCAACTTAAACTTCTAAGACAAATAATTGGTTTACTTTATATATCATAAAGTACCAATATCATTTATAAATCTATATGCTCTTTTTCTACAGAAAATGAAACAATCTTCCGTACCAACAAAAGAAAAAGGGCTGCGATTTGTCAGAGATAAAGAATATACCCTCCAAAAATGAAAACAAAAAAAAAAGAATATATCCTCTGTGATGATACAGGCAACTCCTTTTCACATTCAGGCTAAATGATGCAGTAGGAAGCACACTTCATGTTACATGTGTATTGCATGTAAATAAAAAAGAAGCTATCCAAAATCAGTAACATAGAACTTTGAGTGGGGAAAGCTGAATGAGATTGCAAATTGTAATGAATTCTTTAGAGGTATGCAAAATAGAAAATATAAATTCCCTCTGAAAACTTCAGTCAGATCAAGCTGAAATCAGGAATTATGATTTTATACAGCAGTCATTAAGGAAGAGGAGAAAACGGAGCATTCTGTCTTGTATATTTCAGGAAGCAGAGCTCTGAGCTAACTTACAGCCTTTCAGTGAAACTGGCAAATGCTTTTACAACATTGATTTGAGGGAATCGTTGTTTACTTGCAATGTCTATCCGTATTTCTACCTTTTTATACATTCAATCACTTATATCTTTCCAGCTTTCTGTCCACCCTTCCATCTAAAGATTCCCTCAGCCTTACTGTTGAGATAAAGTTCCCTGTCTATACAAATTTTGCTTTTTTATTAAATCTCATCATTATAAAAGTATTCTGGGTAGTTTCTTTGCAACAAATACCTTCTCGATCCTGAAGCTTACATTTAAAAACTTACACATTCTCTAGTGAAATGTAAACTACTCATTATTTCAATCAAAGGTAACCTTGGGACTAGAGCTTAGCTCGCTGGTGTAATACTTTCTTCATATGTGCAAGGTCCTGGGTTTGACTCCCAGAAACACAGAGGCAAAAAAAATTTAACTCCATGAATATGTGAGTGGTCCAAATTTATTTATCAGTTCCAAACTACTGAGATTATTGGAGTCCTTCTCTTGCACTGATTGCTGGGGGAAAACAACATATTTCATTTTTAAAAATGCAAATCTAAAACTTACTTTGTGCAACTAAAATAAGTCCTTATTTTTATATCTTATAATTGCTGTCTATAAATGTTCCTAAGAATAGCAAATATTATTGATATTGAAATTAATAACCTAGTCCATTTTACAGATGGCGAAATGTGACCCAGGGGCTGCTGGCTTATTTGTCCATCATAACTCAACTATCAAGATCCTTAGGCCAGTCCATTTCCCTTTAAAGATGTCGGAATCCCTCAGAGGCCCTGTATAGCTGAGAAGGAAGTTAAGATCTGAATGTTTGTGTCCCACAAAATGCATATATTGAAACCTAGAAGGCATTAAAAGGTGAGGATTTGCAGAAGTGTTCAAGTCATAATACAGAGCCCTAATGAATGGGTTGTTGCCCTGATCTGTGCCCAGAGCATCTCCTGGCCTTTCCACCAATGAGGATGCAGCAAGAAGTTACTGCTTTGCACCACAAAGCAGCCCTTACCAGACAGTGAATCTGCTGCTGCTTGAATCTTGAACTTCCCAGCCTCCAGAGCCACGGGAAATGAATTTGCTGCTAAGACAGAAGTATCTAACCCTTTAGAGAGTATTCACTCACAAACCTCTGGAGAGAAAGACACTGCCTGCTTCAACGAGGCAGAAGAAGGATAGGGGGAATAAATCATTACAGGCATCTATTGTGCTTTAATTTTCCAACATGGCAAAAAAAAAATCAGAGAAGTAAAGAGATAGGAGGCAGCAAAGGCGAATTACAATGGCCTGGGCAGGAATCCGGAGCTAGTGAGGGGGCTTGGGGTTATGAAGGCAATCATAATCTACTCACACTGCAGGTAGGGCGGTGATGAGTGTCCAGATGGCGATAGAACCAGTTATAGCAGCAGCTACCTTGCTGACCCTGGGCCAGTAAGAAGCTGAGAATGTTACAATCTGAAGCTTTACAAAATTTAAATTATTTTAGAAATCGTCATAAATTCCAGTTGCCTAGAATTAATTTTTATATAATTGTAATGCAACATATCAAAACTTTAGACACTCATCACGGTTAAAGAGAAATGTTCTGGACGGATGTGACTATAAATTACAAAACAAAAACATCCATCTATAAATCAAGTGGGCAACAGCTGTCTGGTCTTTGAAAGGAATTATCCCTTTTGTTCTAAGCTTAGCAAGGCTGCAGAGGGAAAAAAAAAAAGAATTACTTACTTATTACTTAAAGTCAATAATTTCTGCAATGAAAAAGTCCAAGCCTAGTCAGAAAATCATAAAAACATTCCGCTTTCTAGGTGAATTACTGTTGAATTTATATTAACCCCTAGGCTAAGTACCTAGGGAGTATCTTTCAAAAGTTGCTAATGTAAAAAGATATGCTAGTGATCTCTTAATCTGATCACATGCAGCAAGAATTATTTGCCCTGGGGTTTGAGCTACATTGTAATAAAATCAAAGGACATAAAAACGATGGCAGGAACAGTGCTGAAATTGGAGAAGGATCATTATGAATAGCAACAAGTATGAAGATGCATATGCAAGACAGTAACCAGAGCTAATACAGCTACTATTCTCCCACGATTTAAGGTAAACACATAGTTACGGCTTATCTGCTAAATGATCTACTGGGAAGATATTTATGGATTATTATACAGTATATTATTGAGGATAAGCTTTGTTAAAAACAAATAGAGAAAAGAGCAAATGGTGCAGGTCAGCTTTTAGTATGGCCATCATCTGTAATATTTCTGGGGAATTTCTGAAATTCTTCAGCACAGCTAATGTGCCATTGAAGGACTCTCCATTTTAGGAGTGTATAAATCCACACAAATTGCTATAATAAGGATTCATCCCACAGCCCTTTTGGCATAAATGCACATCTGGTCTCTGTTTGTAATGAAATCAATTCAAAGCCCCACAGTACATTAATAATAAAAATGTTCAACATATTGCAATCGAATAAGCCCTGCACATTTGAGTTTGCAAGATTCTGTCACACATGTGTATACTTTTAGCACTGATAAATGATGAGGTTAAGGAATATTTATCAAATGGCTTAAGATTTCAAAGATAGATTTTATTATAATTATTACTGCCATAGGGGGGAAAATCCTTATGAATGTATGCTAGGTTTTGCTTGCTTGATTTAAATAATACCTCTAGGGCTTTTATATTTGCAGTTCACAATACCAGGAATTTTATTAATAATAAAATTATTATAAACAATACTGTCTGGCTTGGAGGAAGTTTGTGGATCTGATTTTTAAAAACAACTAAGTTCTAAAATTAGCATAGTGTGTTGTCTTTAAATGGGAAATTAAATTAAAATGTGGGAATTTTTCCACATTAATTTTTTCTAAATTAAGTCAATTGTTCTCAGCAGTTGTAATGAAACAAATGATGTAGCTTCAGTCATGATATTTACCTTCTGTGTTATGTGATTAACCCACAGCGAAGAACAGTTGCTGAGATCTGGTCCTTGGGGATCCCAATTTCCATCAGGGGCGAGGCAGAGGTAAGTTGATACACCTTATAACAAAGGAAGAAATAAGTCTGTTTCAGACATTCAACCCATTTTTCTTGGAATAACTGCATTTGAGGTGCCTAAAATACGAGCAAAATTAATGATGAGATAATGAATTGAGGTATGTCTATTAAATTCAGACACCGTGCTTGACAACCGATGGGCATTGGAGAAATGTTGTACAACAAACAAAACTACTCGGTGAGGCCTTCAGGAGTTTCCTTTAAATGCTTTCACAGTTATCACAGAAGAATAGATTCCCAACGAATCTGATGCAGAGAGGCTGTGGGTTATGGTTGAGATGTAAACGGTGCGTCCTAGTCAGTGTGCCTGGCAGGTGACAGGGTCATGGTGCACCATACTCAACAGTGGATCCGTTCATTATGAGTTCAGCAGATGGCAGGAGGGACTGGGTAAGAAACAGAGGAGGTGAGGGAGAAGAGAGGGAAGGGGGTGGGGGAAGAACCCTGGAAAAAGTAAGCTCAAAGGAACAGAAGACCTCAGTTTACCTATGGTCCCTGCAGGGCACGGCTGTTTGGCCACTTGGCCTTGGCGGGTCTTGAACCACATGATTTCTCGCGCTTCCACGGCCTCGCAGCTCTCTTCCAGGGCGGGGGCCTGGGATGCTGCGGACGGGAGGTGTGTGGTGACGTCGCCCGGCAGCTCCAGGGCTGGGGATGGGGTGCTGGTGCTCCGGTTTCTTCTTCCGGATCCCGAGGGGGTGGTGCTCCTGCCGGCACCCCAGGGTGTGGTGCGGAGGGTGGCACTGGTGGTCGTGCTTCCCATGCCCAGAGGTCCTGGGGTAGAAACTCCTGGAACACAATTAGAAAGAGAAGCCTACATTTCTTGTTCTCAGTAGGACCTCAGGGCGTCTCCGTACTGTGGAAAACATTTTAATTTGACAATTCAAAAACTTTTGGCATTTTAGAAACCCTGAAAGTCACTTTTATTTTGAACGTGGCAAAAAGCCAGTACCGAGGATCAGGATGCCACCTGGGTACCAAAGTAGCCCTTTATTTGAGCACTGCCAGAGGTGAGTTTGTATGACTCTCCCAACTCTAATCACAGAAAACAAAACCACCACAATGTAACTTTTCAGTGGGCTTCTTTCTGTGCTAAGCCCTTTACAACTAGAGTATTAAGCAATTATTCCCTCTTAGAATTTTCAAAGACTTAGATATACATTAGGTATAATATGGATTTCTAAATATGCAGCAAAATTTTAAAAAGACAACATAAAGTGTGAAGAATCTAGAAAATAAAGAGCAATTTTGAGTATGATTGTTAATACACAGTAGCCTAGTGATTTACCTCAGTGCTCTTACAACTAACACTTTACGGCAAAATTTTCAAACTTGACACTTACTACAGGGTTGGCCATGCTTCTAGTTCTTGCCTGAATTACATCCTAACAAGTTTGCATTATTTTAAGTGGGAAAATGTATTCCAAATTTCAAAAGAAGCACTTAGTTTCTTGGACCAGATGTTAACACAATTGCATCTATAATGCATACAGGGTGTCTTCTAGGTCTTCAGGGAATATGTGCTGCGAAGAATTATGTATCTTCCATACTCATATTCTTATCAGGGGGTGCAAGAATTCACCAGCCCTTCACCCACTTAGCCTGCTACTAACTGCACGAGGCAGAACTGCTCCTGACTTCACTTCCTGGCAATAAAGTGTGAGTGAACCAGCGTTGGCAGGAGACAGCTCAGGTGTAGGGAGCCAGGGCTCCCTGCAGTGAGCCTCCAGTTGCTTGACTTTCATTGTCCACCTCTCAGCAGCTCACTGCGCACACTGAAGAGCACATCTGAACTCTGCTGCCTCAGAGGAGATCCCAGACTCTCTGCAGTGCACGGGCTGTATATATAAACTCATCTTTCTAATTCTTCTATTTGCAATCCATCTATTTTTCTTTCTCTTCCCAATCACCACTCTTTATAGTACTTACATTTAGTTACACATCACTAATGCATATGGATATGGAAGCCTTCTAACTATTTTGATGATGAAAGCAGTACCAGAGAAAAACTGTAATATTCTTATTTTATTCTTATTTTTGCAAAGTTAAAGCTCAGAAATCAAAAGACAAAATTAGCAATTCTCACCATGTAATGCAATTCAAAATTTAATGAAATATTTCAAAATATATTAAATGGATTTGCTGCTTTTAAAATATGGAAAATTACAATTGAAATTGTAAATAAAAGTATGGGCCAATATATATTATTGGCATATAAAATGTCAAGACTATTACATGAAAGACTACTAACATAAAAATTAAATACTTGATACTATGAAGTATCAGCTTTTTAAAAAAAGTCACGTTAATTCTACTATGGGATGTAAGATTGATGCAAATTTTTCTAGCGGAGGAAAGAATTTTTCTTTATTTCAAACTATGGAAGGTAGCCAGGCAATAGTTAACTCCATGTGATTTTCTCCAACTTTTTAATTTAAATAATGCCAGCTCTCATTTGTACTTTCGAAGAGACTCTGTTGAGTAACTTTCAGTTTTTTGACAGGAACTATAATCTTTTCATTGATAATGAGCTATAGTTTTTATTTCAAACAAAGCATTTCTAGTTCTTCTTTGTCTTTTTAAGTTTGACAGTGTAGAAGAGGAAATTCATAGCAGTTACCTGTTATTAGCTAAATAATCTCATGCTCAAATTAACTTGTTCAGGAAAAGTCTCTGCACTGGAGCAAAAACTACTTTTAAAATAGAAGTTGTTTTTCAATTGTCTTCTTTCTCCTCAGTATTACACAGATACAGAAGAAGGCTTTCAAAATTAATGTGCCTTTCTGCAACTAGCTATTTTAATTAGCGTAGCACTGTGAGGAGAAAAGATTTGTTCAGCACCATTTTCATTATGATGAACCTCCACAGTTGCGTGTGTAGTAAGACATTTCTCTCTCCTCTTGTCTTGACTGCACTAATCATGCACAAGGAGCCCTGCACATTACCAGAGACTTACGCTTGCTGTGACTTCAGGTTTACAAATATTGAATAGATTTGTCTTTTAGCATACATTTAATATATCTACCACTGTGCTCTATTTAAGTGATCCAGATTTCAGGCTTTTGAAAATTACAGCTTCACACCAAAATGTATTTAACAATAGCCACATATAATAGAAATTAATGCTCTTTATTAGTTTCTGAAATTACTCCATTCAAACTATTTTCTACCTTTTCCCAGAAGTAGTTGTCAAGGTATAAAGGCAATATGTTTCTCTCTTGAGAAAGATCCTTAAGTGGTCTCTGTCTGCCTTCCAAAAATGAAAGAACTCCTTTTAGTATGGTCAGTGCTTTCATGATTTCTTTCTCCAGCTCACTTACGATTCTTCCTTCCTTTGAAACCATACAAAATTAACAGTAGTTTCACAATTGAATGTTTTTTGCCCTAGGATCTTTGCCCCTGCTCCAAAGTGTTGCTGCTCAGTTTTTCACCGGGGTGACATCTGTGTGTCCTTTGGGGCTTAGCTTGGTTGCCCTCTGCATGGGGAAGACTTTTCAAATTTACTAAGTCTGCAACAGACACTCACATGTCTCTTGTTAACTTAGTTTTTGCCTCACTCAGAATAAATAAGCCCTGAGTTAAAACAGAAGAATATAAGGGATAGGGGTACACATCATGGGGTACAGTATCACAAAGATAGGGGCAAGTACAGGAAAGCTCAGATGGTGTAGCTAAGAGTTCCCAGTGTAAGAACTGGAATACTCCCAAATGCACCTTATTGTATCAGTAAGAAAGCCCCTACGCGACTCACAGAGAAAATAATCAAGGAGACTACGAAGCCTGTCTCAGGACAATCATAATAAAGTGAGTGTTTATGAAGCAATAATACTATACAACACATTTCCTTAAAAGTTCTATGTGTTATGAAACACACTGGAGAGACTCAGTTTTATATAGACACACTAATGTTAGGGATCAATACGCAACTTATTCTTTGGAATTGTGCCACCACACAAAAATGTCTACAAGCAGGGTCATGCCATTCTGTTTGACTTTAAGCAGAATAAAAGTCAATTTTAAAAGCTGCCCTGATCTCTTATCCCTCCCTTCCCTTTCCCGCTCCCAAGGGCTCTACTCAGTGCCAGCGTCTGGCAGAACAAGCACTAGTAATCTACATGCCGTCACCAGTGCCCAAGAAAGATCTTGTCTCATCACTAAATGCTGAGATTCACCAGAGTCATTGACTGGCAAAGTCCCAGCCCATATTGTGAACCGTATGAGTTTGTCTTTTGCTTCCAGCAAATGAGAAGCGATCTGACACATTTCCAGTGTTCAGCACCGTTGAATCTTACCTGATGACACAACCGTGTGTCGTAATAATAAACCCATGTGTTATTAAGTTGTTTGTGTGGTTGTGTGCCAGGGAAAGCTTACTGGTTAAAAGGAAATAGGTTTGAGAGACTACTTATATATAAAAACCATATAATGTTCCTCATTATCTGTCATTATTACTGTGCTCACTATGCATATAAAGATTAGTATTCTCAAAAAAAAAAAAAAAAAAGCTAAGCAAAACTCTTAAGTTAAAATTCTCCCCTACAACTTTATTTCAAAATGAAAATAAAGGGGCTGGGGATTTAGCTCAGCGGCATAAGTGCCTGCCTTGCAAGTGTGTGGTCATGAGTTTGATCCCCGGTACCGATGAAAAAAAGATTAAAAAAAAAAAGAAAAGAAAAAGACAAAAAAAGTGCAAAATGAAAACAAAAAGACCTTCCAATTTTCCTGTCCCTTGACACTTAATGTCCATAACTTATTTTATTCTTATGATTTTATTTATTGTCTTTAAATTTCTTTTCCTTTATCCTATCTTGAACAAATATTTTGAATGCTATTAGAGGTTATAGTTTGTGGAGTAAACTAGTAACAAATAGTGGCAATAACTAAGGAATATTTTATGCTTTACATTTTGTAACATTTTTCTGTCACAATTTAATTATGTCAAAAATGCATAGAATATTCCTCTGAATGCTTAATTTAAAAGAGAAAACAGGCTGAATACGTAAATCATAATCTTACAAATAGCAAACGATTTGGTATCTACTGCTTTTAAATCCTATGTTTTTAATATTTTGCTATTAAGCTGAGTTTCTGAATTACTTCATACATTTAACATTCCTAAGTGTTCTGTAATCTCTTAAGAAAATGCTGTAGGAAATAAAAAGATTTCAGTACGACATTACTATGTTTGATTACAAAACATTCATTACTTGTGATGAGCACAGTTCTAAGAAAATGTAAGACTTCGAAGAGAATTACAAACTATGGAAACAGCATAAACTTCACTGCAGAAGAACTGTTTATTCTTACTGATGCGGTGCATGGATTTTCTTCTTGATTCTCCTTTACTTCTGTCCCTTCCTATGATATCTTCATGGTTTCCTCGTCACGAATCTTTCTTTTGTGCTAACTTCTTTCCAAAAGACAATATTCTCGGGTTGCTTAGAGAGCAGTTCCTTCCCCCAGCCTCCAGTCCTCACTGAGACCAAGGTCATCTATGGAAGAAATTTTCCCAAGGGCCCACGGGAGCAGACAGGAAAGCTGAAGCCATGGCAGTGCTGTAAGTGCTTTTTAGTTGGGTAGAAAGAGGGAATTCCTCCCGATCCTCAATGACAGCACTTGGTGGCAGCATATTTTATTATAACCAGTTCTTTAAAAGAAACATTAATATTACCCATGGTGAAACAATACCATTCTTTTCCATATCCACCAACAGTATTGGGCATAATGACCTCAAGATAGAGCGAAATTCCATACGTATCAGCCATGTAGAAGTATATTTACTTTTGTAA